ATAGATAGATAGATAGATAGATAGATAGATAGATAGATAGATAGATATCCATGGCAACAGTCACTAGGAAAAGAGGAGGAGTTAATGGTGAATAATGGAAATAGTTAAGAGAGTCTGTGTGTGAAGGAGTTCATTTGAACAGATATAAAATTGTTATTTTTTAAATACATTGATACATTCCCATGCTTGTTTGACCCTTAACTACTGCAAGAACATACTGTGTCTGCTGGGATGCTGTGTGGGCTCAGTGTTTATCTGAATGAAGATAAATGTGTTTTACACAGCTGGCAGAAGAAAATTAAGTTTTGTCTTCAACCCGCACAAAAACGCATTCACTAAATTTATAAAATGTTGCAGCTGTGCTGTACTTCTTCAGACCTTCCTGTAAACTGTGTATTTGTTTGTTGAATGCACTTTTGGTACATGTTAAAACTGACTTTTACTTTAGTATCAACAGAAATTTTGATCAATTTAAACTTTATTTTAGGTATTTCTGTACAGATTAGACAAAAATTGCTTCTTTACACAGTTTTTAGCCATTAGATATGTAACGATAGTGGCTTGCTTCATAAATATATCATTTACTATATTGCTTTCCACTGAAAGACATAAAATGGGCAATAATGTTTTTTTGCCCATGAGTGTGTGTGTGCATGGTTGTTTGTCTGTTAGCAAAATATTTCATGATCAACTGGGCAAATTTTATGAAAATTGTATCCATTGAATGTACATATAAAAAATGAATAACTTTTGGAGTCAACTCATTTTAAGAGGACTGCCACAGCCAGCTGACTGCAAAAACAACAACAACAAAAATGGCTTTAACTAGTCAGTTTTACAGATGTTGGGGTGGTAGTAGCTGAAACCGATCCACAACACCTATCCTGAGAGCTTACAATTTGTACAAGATCTTTGTTCAAAATGTTTCCAATAAGTTCCAGTAAGTTTCTAGTAAGTTGTTGGAATTAAAATAACCTCTTTTTATCTTACTTACTCAAAGAAGCCACACTCAATGACAGGAGATTTTTAATTGGTTTTACTTGAAAGGACAGATTTTCACAACCTGTTACACAGATTCAAGTTCAACCTCAAGAATCTTTATTATCCCCCATTGGCAATTTGTTTCACAGTCAGTAGGCACACAAAACATCCATACTGGACAAGACACTGAGACAAGGCTCCTCCAAGGTCGTCCCCAACATGCTGGTGAGTCCCAAAGCCACAGGTGGCCTGCGATTCTCACAAATCGCTTCTGTCTTACAGTTTATCTCGTAAATCAACTGATTTTGAGTACTCAAAGCACGAGCCAAACCGTCACACAGACTTGGCAGTTTTGCCATTGCCGAAACTGCCACCACCGTCTTCCTTAATAGCTTATAACATAGGTCTCTACCAATGCCAGAGAGCAGAAACCCTGCTATCATAAATCCAGTTATATATGTCTTTGGCGTCCTCTTGAGACAGAACGGAAGGACACATCAGCTCCCAAATCCATGATGTATCCTGCTGCGTGAGTCTCCGCGGGGCATGAGGGCTCTCCAGGACCCTGTCGCTTTCTTGAAAAGATTTTGTCCATTGCGTTGAAAGTCCAGCTGACCAGATCCATGACAGTAGTTTTAGTTTTGGAAGAAGTGTATCAGGAGCTCCGATAAACAGACAGAGAGCAAAAAAGCAGGAAGAGAACCGGAGAGGGAGAGGATGTGTCCGCCTTGCACGAGTGCAGATCATGTTTCTGGGTTTGAAATAATTATGTTGCCCAAAACGGAATAAATTGACAAAGTCATTTATCACAAATGGTGAAAAAACAAGTTGTCATATTGTCTCTTTATTGTTTTTGTCTGCAGGTACCTGATGAATGTAACGTTTGAGGGACGTAATCTGTCGTTCAGCGAGGATGGCTACCAGATGCACCCCAAACTTGTTATCATTCTGCTCAACAAGGACAGGCAGTGGGACAGGGTAAGACACGAGGAGACTGTGTGATGTGTGTTCGATTGTGTCAGGTTTCTTGTGGTGCAAAAAGAAACGCAAGATAATTCGACCTGAACGTTTTATCTGTTACGTCACAAAGATCATCGTTCTTCAACATTAATAGTTAAAAAAAGGAGGTAAATTATCAGAATATGAGCCGTGTCAGTTATTTTCAATGAGAGACCATTTCATGTTTCTTATCATGATTTTCACTCTTTTTAAACTTTAAGCATTCTAAATGCTCCGTTGATTAGAAACTATCAGCTCAGTCAAGGTGCCTTTGAGTGACATAATAAACAAAATCACTTAGTTTTGCTTTAAAATTCTCCTGGTCTAAGGCCGGCTTTAATTTAAACTCTTGTAAAACAGTTTCAATATATCTGTTATGTATTACATAGTCCTTCACTTTTCATGTACAACACTAAAAACAGTTACTTTTTTGTTGTTGTAACTATTGTGAAAGAATTTTAAGACAAGAATAAACATGAACCATATTAGAAAAAAGGATCAGTAATGCTATATTCAGTTTATTTTAGTATTAACCAATTTAACCTTTGAGTTTTTTTCCCCATAATAGCACAAAAATACAAAATAATAACCAAAACATTTATATATGACTATTTAGTATTTGTGCAATACCGTATGTACAATCTATCTTGTATGCTATTTTTGGTTTAATAGCTCAAATGACGGATACTTTACAATTGTTTATGTATTTTCTGCTTTTATAACCCGTGCTTTATTCTTACCAGATGGAAATCTGTACCTTTGCTGCTAAATTTCAAGGAAATCAGGACCTTTTTGTTGTTGTTTGCAGTGTTCAGATGCATTTCATTGATTTATTTTAACAAAATGCACCGTTACTGTTGCCTGACAGATGATAGATGCTTTTGAACCACAGGGAACCACTTCAGGATCCTTAAAATTATTTGAGGGAGTCCAGCTTTTCTTTGTGCATTTGCTTTGGTCCTAATGTGGTCGTTTGGATCCTTGTAACTGTGTTAATATGGGTTTATTTTATTTTTTTGTTTCTGCTTCAAGGAGGCACTTTCTTGACTTTTTAGGATCTCGCAAGTAACAAAAATTTATTGAATCTTTCTTAAATGTAGGTTCCAAGGCCAAGCGCAGTAAAAGCTCTTCCAGCACCCACACTACAACTGCATTAAGGTTGCTGATGTAGAAGCTACTTAACATTTGCTTTTGCATGCTGTGAAATGTTATGTTCTGAGAATCTGTGCAGCACACAGTGGACTGATCTGTTGTTTGAGCCTCGGCTCCTGGAACGTCTTCTTCTAAATGTTTGCAGTGCTCTTTCAGACACTGCTTTTAATAAATAAACTGAAGGCCTCAACTATCCTGCCTTTGCTCTCCTGATCTCCATGCAAGTTCATTTAAAAAATATATAAGTTTGTTTATGTTTCTTTTATACTGACATTTGCCTGGAGCACATGCAGGCACGTGAGCCACCATGGTCATTTTGTGATGAGAAAAATAAAATAAAATAAAACTAAATCTGGCCTAAAAATCTAACTTTAAGTAGTAAATGCATTTAGCCTTGATTGGATAAAAGATCAAACTAATTTTAGGCTCTGATCTTCCATGGATCAAACTCAGGGTTTCTGTTTAAGACCTGCCCTGTATCCACTGCATACACTTTACAGGTACCATTCAATACTCTGGCACTGATACGTTAAAAAATACTTTGTACAGTATGTCTTCGGTGTAGACACAATCAATAACTAGGGAAATTGTATTTCATGGAAAAATGCAGTGTGAATGCTTAATGCTGGAAAACAGCTAAATTAGCTAAAAACATGCTGAAATGTAGCTGAAATTGAAGAACAAGCCTAAATTAGCAGAAGACAGCAGAAATAACACACATTTTGTTGAATTGGGTTTAAATAAGCAGAAATTAGCACAAACTTTAGGAAATTATCTAAAAATGCTGAAATTAGCAACAACAACAAAAAAAAGCTGAAAAGTAGCTGAAAATGCAGAAAGAAGATAAACTACCAAAGGGAAGTGAACAGAGGTGAAATGAGCTGAAAAAATGTAGAATTAGCTGACAAAGCTAAATTTAGCATAAAAACAGCTAAATAGAAGTTGAAAAATAAAAAAAAAGCTGAAACTAGCAGAAAGAAGCTGAAAGAAGCATATAACAAGGTGAAATTAGTAAAAATAAGTTAATTAGGCTGAAAGTAGCAGAAATTACCATGAAAAACTTGAATTTATCTGAAAAAGCTGAAATTAGCTAAAAAGTAACTGAAAAGGTAGAACAAGCTTAAATAAGCAGAAGAAAGCAGAAATACCACATTTTTGCCCATTTAGGCTGAAAGAAGGAGAAATGAACACAAAAAAGTGGAAATTATCTGAAAAGTGCTGATATTAGCAAAAAACGTCAGGAAAGTAGCTAAAAAAGCACAAACAAGCTTAAATTACCAGAAGGAAGCAGAGAGAGCATGTTTTTTTTGCTGAATTAGGCTGAAAAAAGGTGACATGAATGCACAAACTGTGGAATTAGCTGAAAAAGCTTAAATTAGCATAAAACAGCTATTTAGTAGCTGAAAAAGCTGAAATTAGCAGAAATAAGCTTAAAGGAGCATAACAAACTGAAATAAGCAGAAAGAAGTTAGAAGAAGTACAAAAAATGTTCTTGTTGGCAGAAAGAATCTGAAAGGATCACAAAACAGCTAAAAAAAACAGCTGAAATTAGCTGAAAGTAGCAGAAAGAAACGTTTAAATTTGCACAAAGAAGCTGAAACAAGCTGAACCAGAACAAAATGTGAAAGGAGCAGTAAAAGGTTTTAAACAGATCTAAAGATTTGAAGGATATAAAATGAGCTCAATTCATTTTCTATGAGAAAAAAAATGGCAGAAAAGGCTAAATATTTCAAAAAGCTAAAGTTGCACCAATACCAAAAGTCATAGCAGCAAAGAGCTGAATGTTTTGATTTGTGATTTGTTGAAATAGCTTGAAAACTGTGGGACAAGATTTGCGCTGAAAAACGTACGTAAGAAAAATGGATCAAAATAGAGTGAATGCTTCATAAACATTCATACTAATAGAATGTTATATTTCTGCATTTGCTCCTATATTTTATAACATAATCAGGTGCCCACACAGCTTAGCACCTACTGGAATTTTATATCCTTACAACAGCTCACAAGCTTGGGAGTTCAGCTGTAAAAGGTTAATAAAACAGGGGCTGCTGGTTGTAGGTGGTCACCAGCATGTCTGTAAGTTGATTTTCCTCACTGCTCTGTGTATGAGCGTTCTGATTGGCTCAGGCAAAGACACTGCTCCAAACCCTTCCTGAGCTGCTTTACAGCTGACTTCTGCTACTGGTTTTTTGTGGGAACTTCATCTTTCACATGCCAGATGGGATGATTTCATGGGTCAATTACATCCAGGTGTCCACCAGTTGATCATCACTGCTGTGCACATTATCAGGTTGCTCTACTCAGGTTTCAAGGGTCACTGCCACAGTCATCATATTCAGAGATTCCTGACTGGCTCATGATCTTTCTGCCCAAACCCCAGAACCAGTCCTGTCTGCTCCACATTAATCTCTTCATGCCAACACAGAGCCTAAGTTGCACGGCATTTGTTTCCATTTGGGGGTTTGAGCCTTCTGGCTTGCTGTAGTAATTCTACTTGAAGTTTGCATAATCTCCCTGTGCCTGCGTGGGGGATCTCCTTAGACTCCATTTTCCTCCCACGGTACACAGACGTGCAGGTTAGGTTTAATTGCTGACTTCAGAAGTTCTGTAGGTGTGAATAGGTATGCAAATAATTGCCTGTCTCCTCAAGTCAACCCAGTGATTGACTGACAGTCTGTCTAGAGTGCCGCCCGCTTTTTGAGCTATTATCAGTGTGGCTCCTGCCCCCACATAAGCAGGTACAGGTGCAGGAACACAGGACTAAACTGAGATTAGAAGTTTGTTGCGCATGGGATTAGAACATGAGATCAAAGTTCATGCTCAATCATCCAGGTACAAAATCCAATAATGGTCAATCAGGTCATCTGGACAGTTTCTTTTTTGTGAAAAGACGTTTCACCCTCTATCCGGAGGGCTTCATCAGCCTGAGGAGTTCCAAGTAAACTGTTTATTTGAGACTCCTCAGACTGATGAAGCCCTCCGGATAAAGGGCGAAATATCTTTCTACAAAAAAGAAACGGTCCAGATGACCTGATTGACCATTATTGGATTTTGTACCTGGATGATTGAGCATGAACTTTGATGTTTGAACCACTTTATCTGTGGCTGCCTTCCTGGGAGGAGTCAACAGGGGACAGGACAGCCCCCAGAAACCATCTTATCACAATCTAACTGGTTGGTCCACTAAAGGAGTGTACTGCTTAGTGGGGAAAACAGTTTACTTGGGACTCCTCAGACTGATGAAGCCCTCCGGATAGAGGGCGAAACAACTTTCCACAAAAATAAACTGTCCAGATGACCTGATTGACCATTATTGGGTTTAAAACATGAGGTTTTAAAGCTGTAAGGGCTAAAATTGTGTCTATTTGAGGGGGGGATAATATTAGCTGGCAACAATATGTGGCTATAAATTATTACGTATTACGTCACCCCCGATCAGCTGGGCACCCTCCACTCTCCTCATCACCCCCTGCTGAGTTGTTTATTTCATCATTTCAGATATTGCTTGATTCTGCAAAACAGGGCATGCCCCGTTGTGCCAAGAACATTTCAAAGTGTAATACAATAAAATCAGTTACTTCCAAGAAGTAAACAGTGATGCCAGGCGTCGTTATGATGCCAAACTCTTGCATCAGTGACCCTTGTTTAATTTCTGTTGCTAAGTAAAAACCTGCTATAGTCTGTGGCCTCACAAAGTTTCTCCTCACAGCTACAATCCACTTATTTATTTATACAAGATTCTTTTGAACACTTCTGGAAATCTTTTTTAATGGAATGATTAAACCATCCAACAACAGTGGTTCTCCAAGTCCAAACTCTGATCTGGATGGGGACTGAATTGCAACTTAAAGTGAAAGTGATGAGTTGTGTAAGAACCTGCCTTTGGAGACTCCAATAACTGTAATAGAGCATAATGATGCAACAAGACTTTAAATTAAAACCAAACAAGGCTACTGGCCCTGATGGCCTTAAAGCCCGTCTGTTCAAAGACTGTGCTACCCAATTGAAAGGTGTCTTTACACAGCTATTCCAGTATATTATCAATTTGAGAACGGTGCCAAATGCATGGAAATTTTCAATAATAAGGCCAGTGCCAAAGAAACAGAGTGCAACTGCACTTAATGATTTTAGACCTATTGCCATAACTTCCATATTATGTAAGACTGTGGAGCGGGTTCTTGTCGGTCATCTGGACAATTTTGGGGCCACTGCTTTAGTCCCACTCCAATTTGAAGCAACAGAGGCACTGATGATGCTGTGTTGACTCTGTTGAATACAGTTACAAACACTTATGAGCCCCAAAAGTTTTGTAAGAATATTGTTTGCAGGTTTTAGTTCTGCTTTTAACTCAATGAAAACTCATATTATTTTAAAGAGGCTCATTGATCTTAATGTCAACTCAAGCCTGGGTCTCTGGATCAGGGATTTCCTATCGTGTCGTCCACAGACGATCTGTGGTGGTCGTAACACTTCTTATGTGCACACGGTGAGCACTGGTTGCCCTCAACGTTGTCCTCTCTCTTCTGTGTTATTCTCTTTTTACAAATGAGTTTGTGATTAATGATCAGAGCTGTATTCTATTCAAATATGCCGATGACATGGCTCTGGCTGGATTACTAACTGAAAACAATCCCACAGGTGAAGCTTCTTATTTAGCTTTTATTTGTTAAGGCTTGTAAAGTAAGTAAATCTTGTTTAAGTGAAAGTTTTTTTTAATGTAAATTTATAGTGCACAATAAGCTTTTCTGTCAAAAATGATACAAACAGGACCATTTCCTTTGGTTGTGAGTTGAAAGCAAATTTAACAAAAGGGATTTGCTTCTCATTAGAAAAGTCCTGTCTATCAACTTGACTAATTTCAGACCTGTGACCTGTGACCTGTGACCTGTGACCTCGATATGGTGACGTCAGTCTTGTTTTATCATTGACATTGTTGCTGCTGATCCTCTACACGCCTGAATAAACATTATGCATTTACATGTCTTGTATTTTTCATTGTTAACCTTTGAAAATATATTTTCTGTTAAAAAGTTATTGATCAAAAAGTGTCTGAGTATGAGAAAGAAAGAAGATGGACTTGTGCAAATGGCAAGAACCTGAAATGGACCTGTCTTACCCCCAACATGCACACACGGCTGCTCCACCTCTGTCTGTGTCCTGCCATCTCCCCCCGTCCTTTATTCTCAGTATTCCCCTCTTTCCTCTCCCTGTCTAATCTATATTCTGTCCTCTGATCGGAGAACAAGGTGAGTCGCTTGTCTCCAGTCTCCCTCCTTTTCTTCCTATCTGTGGCCTGCACCACCCCTTCCCTCACCTCCACTTTAACCTCCCGCTTTCTCTCTCACTCGTCGTGTTTAATTTGATTTCAAGCCAAACATCTTTTCTTGGTTTCTAATGACTCCCAGCTCCTTCAACTATCCTTCTCCCCTCTGCACTTCAGAAGTAAAGACTCTGGTAATGGTCAGTTCTCTTTGTTGCCCCTCCACATCCAAACACAAAGTTTTCTCTATCTCTGTTTTTTGTGACTTTCCCTCTTTCACCCAATTTTTGTTCTGCCGAGGGAGAAAGAGATAAAAAAAACTGCATTGTGCTCCGGGGATACACAGCCTCGGCTTATCCATTCCAAGCCGTGCTGCCAACTTTGTGCTCCCTGGAGCGCAACGTGTTTGAACACATTTGCATATTTAATAAGTGCAAACTGGACTTTACATCCTCAAAATGCACAGCTCCCTGTCCCGCCGGGCCTCTTGTACTGTGTTCAATTGTCACTTCTAACCATGTCTTGATGAAAGTGACTGAAACATCCAGGTGGGGTTCCAGAGAGAGATCAGGGTGAAAACTTACTAATTGGTGATGCTTGTTCAGTCGAGTAGAGCCACGGGGGTTAGAGGGTCCTCTACACATCCAGCTGGACCATCTTCTTCAGAAGAACCAGAGTTTTGCATTTGAATGAGCTCGATTTCTGCTTTTCTGTCTCCTTCCTTTTATTTAGTTCCACTTTCTTGCTGCTAATGAATCAGTTTTCATATCTTATTTTTTAGTTGATTTCTCGATTCACTTTTCTGTGCCTCTTTGTCTACCTTCTCGTGGCTTCCCTCCTCCTCGTGATCTAAATTCTGCTCTACCCTCTGTATCAGCGCCGTCCTTCATGATAACCTTGTTCTCATTTTTCCTGCTTTGGGTCCCAGTCCTCGTCTCCCCTCTCCGTTCCTTCTCCAAACATAAACCATCACTAGTTGCTTCTCTTCTCCTTTCATGACGTTTCCATCAAAATAAATGATTATTGCCACATTGAAAGTAAATTGACATGTAGCGCAGCAGCAATTATATGTAAAAAACTGCACGTAATGAAGCTTTTAAAATAGTGTGATTCACTAAAAGACAAAGTTCTTTATTCGTGTTTGATGATGCACTTCAGAACTGTTGCAGCAGCTGAGCAGCAGTTCTTTCCTTTAATGGACTGAAGTTGTTGTTGTGTGAAATATAATCTGCTTTCATTTTTCACTTTGATTCCATCTAGGTGATGCATTTTATTTCCCTATATTATAGTGCTTGCAGGCTCAGTCACTGAAATATCTAAATAAAGACAATTATTCGTAGTAACTGCAATGAAACGGGGGAAAATAAATACAAAACGAGTGGATTCAATAAAATATTGGGTTTGTTCTTTTAGTTTGAAGGTGATCTATCGTTATTTTTATTTTTTTTTGCACGTCTCTGCAGGTGGGTAAGTGGGAGAATGGTTCCTTGTCCATGAAATACCATGTGTGGCCTCGCCATGAGCTGTATGGGGGGGCAGCAAGCAAGGAAGATGACCACCTGTCCATCGTGACATTGGAGGAGGCTCCGTTCGTCATCGTGGAAGACGTGGATCCGCTCAGCGGCACCTGCATGAGGAACACTGTACCCTGTCGGAAACAAATCAAATCAGTGTGAGCCTCTAATTTCAGACTAAGCCAAAAATATTCCTACATTACAGCTTGACATGAAACAACAAAACATAACATGCAGTTCATGGTAACACTTTACAATAAGGTACACAAATTTTGATTAACTACTATGGAACGCCTCAGGAACAAATCAGGAGCTAATGGGAAGTTAACCAGTACTTAGTTACTGGGGAACACATAGCCAAGCCTTATTAAGGGACTACTGGTTTGTTACCACAGAAACAGAGGAGAAATTCTCCATGTGGGTTCTGAACAAACCCTGCACCAGTGAAGTCACAGCTCAGACATAGTTAAGATGACAGCAGTACAAGATTATGAAATCAGTTCTTACCACTGATTAGTGGTAAGAAGCCAATAAAATCAGTAATCACTAGGAAACAGGTTTTAAACAATAATGAGCTGTGACCTCACTGTTGCAGGGTTTGTTCAGAACCCACATGGAGAATTTATCCTATGTTTCTGTGGTAACAAACCAGTAGACCCCAATAAGATTTGGCTGTGTGTTCCCCAGTAAGTACTGGTTAACATTTGGTTAACTCCTGATTCGTTCCTTTTTGGTTTCTTTGGTAATTACTGATTAGTTATTGATTAGTTCCTCTTCATTTACAAGATAACTAACCAATAGTCCCCTAATAAGGCTTGGCTGTGTGTTCCCCAGTAAGTACTGGTTAACCACCCATTAGCTTCTGATTCGTTTCTTTTTGGTTTCCATGGTAACTACCCATTAGTTCCTGATTAGTTCCTCTTTGTTTCCCAGATACGGTGGCGCAACTGGTAGAGCTGCTGCCTCTCAGCAAGCAGGTCCCTGGTTCAAACCCCGGTCTGAGGGCCTTTCTGGGTGGAGTTTGCATGTTCTCTCTGTGCATGCATGGGTTTTCTCCGGGTACTCCGGTTTCCTCCCACAGACCAAAAACATGCATGTTAGGCTGATTGGTAACTCTAAAAAATTGTCCCTTGGTGTGAATGAGAGAGTGAATGGTTGTTTGTCTCTATGTGTCTCTGTGATGGACTTGCGACCCGTCCAGGGTGTCCCCCGCCTCTCGCACAGTGATTGCTGGACATGGGCACTGGCGACCCCCGTGACCCAAAATGGAAGAAGCGGGTAAAAGATAATGGATGGATGGATGTTTCCCAGATAAGTAACCAGTAGTCTCCTAATAAGGCTTGGCTGTGTGTTCCCCAGTAAGTACTGGTTAACTACCCGTTAGCTCCTGATCTGTTCCTGATTCGTTCCCGAGGCGTTCCCTAGTTGTTAGTGAAATTTTGTGCACCTTATTATAAAATGTTACCAAGTTCATATAAAACAGAAATATTCCAGCAACTGGTGCACCACAAATAAAGATGTATATTAGCCATGTCGTAAAAATACAGTAAGCTTTAATTACTGTTTTTAGTTTAAATTGTATTTAAATTGGTCATTTTTGAAATGATGGTTGTTTTCAGATGTATGACTGAAATTACAAACATATATGGTCAATATTTATATTATAAAAGCTACATAAAATAGTTGTTAAATATTAATGTTATAACAAATATCTAATTAAAACTGCATATTAATCAACATTTAGTGCAACAAAATAGAATTTTGCCAGTAAAAAAATTACGATTTATTCACCTGTCCATGTTTTATCCTCACTTGATTATGTTCAGCATCTCAGAAAGCTGGTCCCAAACTTTAGGGGTCAAAGGTCATGAAGTGGTGTACACCCTGGACAGGTCACCAGTGCATTGCGAGGCCAGCTCAGAAACACAAGATGGACAATTGTGCATGTAATTTGGATTATTCAGTTGTCCTAGAATCCATGTTTTTGGACTGGGGGAGGAAACTGGAGTATCAGAAGAAAACCCACACGTGCATGAGGAGAACATGTAATCGTAACATAGAGAAACCCCGGATAGGATTTCAAACCAGGATCTTCTTGCTGTGGAGCAACTGCATAAAGATGTCAATTAGAAATGGAGGAAAAATTAAAGCAAAAATATTTGTATGATAACAATCAAATCAATATAAAAGCATAAATAATTCCTTTTAATTTAACATAACTTTAAATTTATACATTAAAAACAATTAATTTACTATTAAATTATTAATAAATGTTAGGGAAAATACAGATGCATCTAAAAAAATTAGAATATTGTCAAAAAGTTCTAATTTGTTAATTACTTCCTAAAGTGAAACTCATATATTACATAGAGAAGTAAAAATTACATAAAGAAAAAGAAAAATCATTGTAATGCCACTTTAATGGGTGATTTGTGACTTATCTGTGCTGCTTATCCATGCTGCTGATCTCATGCTGCTGATTATCTTATGCTGCTGTATTCATTCATACCGATATGCTCACCACAGACTCATGTTCAGGCTGCTGTTTAATATACCGTATTATTTTACATTATTAGTGACTAAGCGAATATCTTAGATCTTTTCGCATACCGTTTAGCGTAGTTTAGTGTATATCTTAGTGTATATCTTAGATCCTTATTTACTGTTTCTTTTTAAACTTTATATTTTGCTATTTTTTGGTGTAACTGGGACCATGTGTACATGTACCACATGAGATGGTAATGTCAATAAAGTCAGAGGATCTGACTTAACTTTTTTAGATTTTTCTACCTGGATTATTGAGCATGCATCAGGAGACAATAAAGTTTACTTGAACTTGAACTTGCACATAGATTAATTACACATAGAGTGAAATACAGTATTTCAAGCCTTTATTTCTTGTAATTTTGACAATTATGGCTTACAGATAATAAAAAATCTAAATTAGTGATCAAAATTACAAGCAATAAAGGCTTGAAATATTTCACTCTGTGTAATGAAGCTGTATAATATGAGAATTTCACTTTCTTTAATGACTGAGAAGAAAAACTGAACTTTTTCCACTATATTCTAATTTTTTGTGACACATCTGTATGTTAGTCTTATGTTGGATTTCAAAATGCAGGAAAAATCTGTAAGGAAAAATCAGAAGATTTATATAATTACATTTTTTACAGTGTACATGTTTGTCCAGAAGTAAACAGATCTACCAAAGAAAATGTCTAAAGCACAAATGGAAAGAAAAACATGACATTCTTGATCGTAAACATCACTTCAGACACGTGTACATTCTGGTTTGAATATTCTTCTTCTGTCTTTGTGCAGCAATCAGACGAAGGAGTCGGGGATCTACATCAAGCGCTGCTGTAAGGGCTTCTGCATCGACATCTTGAAGAAGATCGCCAAGTCAGTCAAATTTACGTATGACCTTTATCTGGTCACTAATGGAAAGCATGGCAAGAAAATCAATGGAACCTGGAACGGCATGGTGGGAGAGGTGAGGAGTCTGTGTTTGCACTTCGTTTTCATATTTTTTATTCACCTCTCCGTGTCACTCATCAGTGTTTACCTCCCCTTGTTGTGCGCTGGCTTTTCAATGTTTAGTCGGCGCAAATTTGCCAGATTTCACAGGTCAACAAATAAAAAGCCTGTTTGTGTTTCCCGAAGTCAAGCAAGTGTAAATTATACGGCTGTCAGTATTATTATTTGTTGGCGGAGCTTGCAAATGAAGATTGCACCTAATTCACACTTTGTGACACCGTTATTTAAGCTACCGATGCTTAAAAGGTGCGTGCTGTTAAGAATCCGGGCAATCAGAGTGAACTTTGCAGGAAGACAGTGGAGTAGTTGGCCGTCTGACTAATTAGGAGGGAGAGAGAGGATGCGAAACGTTTGAGGTCAGAACAGGAAATGTTTCGTTGCAGGACACACTTTGGTACACACAGGTGTGTCTGTGTGTGCGTGGAAGTGAGTTCTGGTCTAATAGTTGCAGAAACAACAAAATAATTTGGTTTTGGACTTTTTGGGATTTTACCAACAAGGTACAACAATTAGGAGGTTTTAATTTAATGTAATATAACAAAGCTTTTTCATTATATTGCATTAAATTAAAACCTTTAATTTAAAAGGGGAGTGGTGGGGCAGAGGTTATACAAGGTGAGCCTATGATTGGAAGGCTTCCAGTTCAACTCCCCACACCGACAAGATCATCAAAATGTGGGTGAGATAGGTGAAGCATCCACACCTGCCTCCACCCTCATGTACCCCACTCTGGGACCTTGAGCAAGGTCCTTATAATCCCCACCATCTACTCCCCCAGGTGCCCTAGGTGGCAGCTCTCTGCTCCACACAGAGGCCTGTGGTAGCTCAGTGGTCTGTGGTTGTGTCAGGAAAAAAAAAAATCACCAAGTCTTCGTGCGAGATAGTTCGCTGTGGCGACCCCTGAAGAAGGGAGCAGCTGAAAGAAGATTTTTTTTAGCTTTTTCATTAACAGTCCTTATATGTACCGTAGGTATTAACTGTATTTTTGTATTTAAATTTTGAATAAAGGCAAAGGCCGCTTTGTCTCCCAGCAGAAATGGTTCAAGCTGCCTTAACAATGATTGACGTCAGAGTCAAGGCTGCGGTCAGTTCACGTTTCGACTTGCAGGAACCAGCTGTGCTCCTGTTGACTGAGCTTTGCGTTTTGTTAATGTGGGAAGAGGCAAACGGATCAATAAGTTCCCTAAAGGTCCCCAGTTAGGAACGTGCTGAGTGGCTCTTTGTGTGAACGCTTCCACCTATAACCTTCAGAAGTCACAGCCAAGATCATGTGTCCACTTTTACGTTCTCGATGAAACTTTTGCTGCTCAGTTTAAATCAAACTGCCCCATTTCGTGTCTTACATAAAGCCATTACCATCGTCCTGCCGGCGTCTTTACAGAGTCTGGAGCTGTAAATGTGGCCACCTGTATTAAACTATCAGTCGGAGTGAGAGCGAGGTAATGCTTCTTGTCCCTCTTACCTCCACAGATGAATGGTCATTAAGAAGCAAAAAGGCTGCATTCATCTGTCTGCAAGTGTGTGTTTTCACACACGCACGTGCAGACAAAGGACATTTATGCATGAAATAGCACAGAAACCAGCTCCATGCGTGCACATTGACACACACTCATATACTTTGTACGATGAAGGCTCGTATTTTGTCTATTCAGCACTCTTTATGTCTCGAATACAGTTCATTAAAGTTTTGACGACATTGACAGATTATTTAGTCAGCCAATTTAATCAGGCTGAATTTTGCAATTGTTTTATTATCAGCATGACTCAAAGGAAGTTGGCCAGAATATTACACTAACTTTTACAAGAAAAACTCCTTGTTAGGAAAATTTGTGATTACTTAATTCACACATTTCAAAGTCCATCCATTCATTATCTTTTATCTTCTTCTTTTTTGGGTCATGAGGCTCACTAGTGTCCATGTCCAGCAATCACTGTGCAATAGGCGGGGGACACTGGACACGTCTCCAGTCCATCACAGGGACACATAGAGACAAACAACCATTCACTCTCTCATTCACACCTAGGGACAATTTAGAGTCACCAATCTGTCTAACATGCATGTTTTTGTTCTGTGGGAGGAAACCAGGGTACCCAGAGAAAACCCACACATGCACAGAGAGAACATGCAAACTCCACCCAGAAAGGCCCCCGGCTGGGATTTGAACCAGGGCGACCAGCTTGCTGAGAGCCAACATCTCTACCAACTGTGCCACCATGCTGCCACATTTCAAAGTCTTGTACCAGTATATTTATTTGGTTAAATGGGAAATTTTATTTTTCCAGAGAAAATATGGACAACTTTACGCTTGGAATGACATTTACACCAAGCCTTCAGTCAGCTGTAGCACAAGTAAGAATATGTGCTGACATGCATTGAGCGTATTGCTTACTTATTAAAAATTGTTGTATTGATTAGAAATAGCTTTATCAACTCCTCAGTTGCTTGTTAAATTTATGATGGGTTATAAAAGGTCCCAAACCCTTTGTCAACCGTTGACTCAATGCTCACAGAGATTCTTTTTAGGTTTTACCTTAACAAAATATGAAAAAGTAATAAAGGAAACTTCTAAATACTTTGAGAAGGTCTAATTTTGATCCAAACTCTGCTCCTTATGTGAGTGTTTGCCTTCAAGAGCTGCACGGGTTAGTTTGCTTTCATGCTTGCTAGGTGCCAAACGTGTTTCTACACGCATTGGTGGTCAAGAGCTCCCAATGATGACTGTCCCCTGTCCATTTGATAACATCAGTATTAGAGTTTGCATTGTGCAGAATTTTAAATCTGTCCAAAACTTTTGCTTGTTGTCTTTGTCATGCCCATTTACCTTCAAATCTGCCTTGTAAAATCAGACATTCCACCGACCCCTGTCAAACATCCTGGGTGGGTATGATAGTAAACTGTATCCAGGCAAAGTCGTGAGGTTGTGTGTGGAGATAGGATGTCCCACCTAACTTCTATAAAATGTACTTAGATAACCAAAACCCATTCTGCAACTGGTGAGTCTGACGGCACCATAAAACCTTGGGGGATCCTTTTTGTCCCCTGTTGCATAGCCAAGAGAAAAAAATTGAATTCTGTCATCCGTCTGTCAGTGAACTTGTAAGCTGGATAACTTGAAAAATAAATGAGTTACAGACTTCCATTTTAGTGTGTGGCTGCATAAAGGAATAAGAGAGGCCCCTGTAAAAAAAATGGGTGTCCATGTCAAAATTCAAGATGGCCACCTTCATTCTTATGTAAACTGGCCACCCTTAACATTTGAGAATTATGCTTTCTAATTTTGTAAACTGCTCAAATTTATAGTTCCCTCAAATGATCAGAAGGGGGGAGTGGGGAGAGGGGCAGTGAGATGGCTGAAGATTAAATTATGGTGGCCAAGGCCACCATTGACCACTACTTTGTTCCTTCCTCTTGCCAGGATCCATCACTATGCACCACCTCAGACAAGTAAAAAGAGGAAACTAAAACCTACCTCTGTTCTTATACCCAAGTAACTCATAGACACTTGGACAGTGGCGGCTGGGGGAGTTTTCTCCAAGGGGGGCTATAACTTCAAAATAGACACAAACATATACATATATGTATGTATATATATATATATATATATATATATATATATATATATAGATATTTATATATATATATA